CCGGAAATTTTGAAATTTCCTAGAATCCTCACTCTGACGCGACGTCTCCAGATTCTGAGAATCTGAATTCTCAAAATTTCAAATTTCAAGAGGTAGAAGTTTACCTACCCTACCTACCCGTCTCATCATATTTCCCCATCGCTTTCTCTCTCCATCTCTGCGTCTCTTGTCTGGTTTCCGGTCCCTAACTTTTTTCTTTTTGTCGATTTCTTCCCCCCATCTGAACAGTACCTTCCTTCTTCTTCTTTTTCTGTACATTGATACCCTATTGATAACGATTTTTTATCATATTTTTGATTTTTGATGAATCACTCTCTATTTTTTTTGGTTTTTTTTGAGTCTAAAATTGAGTGTTTGGCAGCTGAAAATTCGAAATTTTCAGCCAATTTCAAATGGAAAATTCCAATTTTTTCGATTCAAAACTGAAAAATCTGATTTTTATAACTGTAAATTAAGCATTTTCAGATATTTTCAGGTCATTTTTGAAGGGATTTCCACTCGGATTTTTGGCTTTTTTTGTGCTGAAAATTGAGAATTTGGCAGCTGGAAATTTGCCATTTTCAGCTGTTTTTTGTTGCTGTATTTTGTAGTTTTTGTAGTCTCGAAGAAACCATATATACAAAATGACATGCTATTTTCATCATTATATTATTCAATATTATATTCATCTTCGTCATAGTCATCGTCAGTCGTCGTTCGTCGTGTAGTCTTTGTGTCTTTTGAAGGCAAAAAATTGGAAAAAAAATGAATGAGTTGCTTTTTTTACTGAGTAAAGAGGCTGTTTTCAGCTTTTTAAAGCTCAGCTTCATTCCTTCCGTCCTTGTGAATTGCCAAAAGATTCCTGGAACCTACACTGAACAGCTGGAAGCTTTGAGCTATAATTCCTTTTTTCCAGAATCTAAGAAATCTGACAACTTCGAATTCAGCGCCTCCAGATTGCTCAGCCTTATCCCTTCCGTCAGACGTCGTCGCCGTCGTCGTCGTTGTTGTTGTTTAGCTGGGATGATGTCCCTCCCCTAGTTAGACACCCTTTCCTCTCTCTCTCTCTCTTTTCCACCAATAAATTCATTTTTGCCGCCAGCCGGTCGGATGTGCAGTGTTCCTCTTCTTCTTTTTCTCGCTCACTTTTGGTGTCCGTGTTAGAATACAAAATGCCATACAAAACGGCTCTCAGAAAACAAGGATTTTTCTGAATTTTCTAGCTGAAATTTGCTTTGTTTTGGTTGGATTTTCAAGCCAAAAAAGGCTGTGAAATGAGCTAAGAAAAGCGGAGAGAAGGACTGAAAATGAGGCTGAAACCATGCTTTTATGACCCGTCCCTAGAAATGACCAGGAGCATTTTGTGTGCGGAGCTCCTAGTTTCGCTGGGAATCTGATACTCAGCCCTCCAGTCATTTTGAATCTAATTTGACAATTTTTTCTCCAATCAAATGGGCGTTTTTGTGGGCGGACCTTAATTTTTGACTCTCGAAAAATATGATTTTCGATCATATAATCCCCCAATTTTTCGGCTGAGATTCTAGCCGTATTCCAGACACATATTTCTCATAGAGTCTCTGTCTGCATTTTTCAACTAAAAAAATGCGACATTTTCATGGGTTTTCAAGTGTTTCTCCCTTCTCCTTCTTCCTCTTTTTCTTCTCGCCATGATTCCCATTTCTCATATTTTTAAGGCATTTTTCAACGTCTTCGTTTTCCTTCTCCTCACCCCGTCACGCGATATTTGACACACAGCGACTGTCTGTAATTGGCTGTTCCTCTCGGGGTTTTTTTGGCGTTTTTGAAACGGAAATTCCGGGTTTTCAGAGGTCTAACTTGTCTTGTTGCCGTTTTTCTGAGAAATTCCGAGTTTTTTGGCCCCTTAACTCGTCTGGAACAGGAGCTATTCCATAGATTCTCAATAGAGCGAATTTGCCGAAAATATTGATATTTCAATTGAGCTCTATGATTGCTCAGCTTCAAGCCAGCCAAAATTGCCCATTTGTAGGCTAAATTGAACGCAATTTCTGGGCCAAATGAACCCTAAGAATCCGGAAATTCTCAATGGAGCGAAGTTGCTCTTCTCCAAGAGGGATAGAAAAAGATATCTAGAATTTCTTATCACTAGACTCATCTCATTTCTATCTATCAGATCGATAACATTGAGGAGCACCTGACGCCTGACTCTCTCGGCTTCTTCTTCTTCTCCCATTTTTCCCTTTTTTTTCAACGATTTCTGATCAGAAATAGTGGGAAAAAAGTGTCGAGGAGGAAATGTGATCACTAATTCACTTCCACATCCGCTTTTTCTATTTGTTGTGATGTCTGTGAGTCGGTTTGCCCGAGATGTCCGCTTTTGAATAGTTCAGGAAAACGCTCAGCCAATAGAACTACAATTACCTAGTTTTAGATCATGAAAATGCTTATTTTAAGTTCTCTTCTAATTTCTAGAGTGCTGGCACTATAACTACCTGGTTTTGGGCCATAAAATTCCACTACTTAGTACTACATTTGGTTTCATAGTTGGCTGGTTTTGGGCTATAAAAATGCCCAATTTTAAGTACACTAAATTTTCGGGAATAGCAAAGCTAGAATTACCTAGTTTGGACCATAAAAATGTTCAGTTTTCTGTACCCGATTTTTGTCTATAAAATGCTCATTTTTAAGCCACTAAAAACTCTATATTTGGCTATTTTGATGAAACCCCCCTGATTTTCCTATCCATTTCATTTTGCTGCTTCCCTTATTTTCGATGCCTTTCTTGGCGTTTTTTAATCTTTTTATTAGTCATAAACCCCCAGCCCCCCCCCCCCCGTTTTGCTGTGTTCAGCTTTTTCAATTCAGCCCCTTTTACTTTTCTCCATATCAGGTTTTTTTCAGCTTTTGAAGAAATTTCTAGTGATAAGGGCTGAAAAAGTTGAAAAGGGCTAAAATAGGGCTAAAAATTCGGTATAACAGCAGTCTAATCTTGGCCCAAAAAGTCTGACTAATTCGTGGCCTGGAAATTATCCGATGTGATCTAGAAATAAGCCTGAAATGTGGCCTAATATGGTCTATAAATAAGCCTAATTTCGTTCTGAAATTAGGCCGCCTAATTTGCTGTAAACATAGGCCTAATTTTGCTAGAAAAGAGGCCTAACTTGCCCTAAAAATAGGCTCAATTTGGACTATAAATAGTTTATTTTAGCCTTAAATAGGCCTAACTTGCACTGAGAATGGTTAAATTTGACCTAGAAATGGTTAAATTCCATCTAGAAATAGCAAAACTAGGCTATATAAAATAGGCCTAACTTGACCTAAAAATAGGCCCAACTTGCGCTAGAAACTTCTAAGCTGAGCAATCATAGACTCCGCCCTCTTCTCAAGCCACAAACAAACACACACGCACACACACACACACACATACATAAATGTCAACTAATTCATGAACCTTCCAAAATAGTCCATTTTGACATTTACCTCTCTCCTTTTCCACCACCACCACCTGGTCCTGGACCACCACTTCTCCGCCGATTGCTCAGCCTAAATATAGCTTCTGGACTTTCCGCTTCGAGACTTCTTGCTCCTATTGTCTCTTGTCTATAGGAATTTGGAGCCAAAAAGGCGTGAAAAATTATATGCTGACTGGCTGGCTCTGGCTCTTTGTGATTTCTCTGGCGCATCTCTCTCTCTCTCTCTCTCTCTCTCTCTCTCTCTCTCTCCGGTCAAAAAAGGAAGAAGGTGCTCCGGGCTCTTCTTGCGCGTCTCAAGTGCACTCTCTCTCTCTCCGAGCTTCTCGAATTTTTCCCTTTTTTTTGCTGCTCGTTTTTTTTGCTCAGGCTCCTAAAAATTGTCTCTTTTTTCTGAAAAAGGCTCTTTTTGGAGCACAAAAAGAGCAGTTGGAAAAGGTCGAAACGATTACCGCTGCAAAAAGAAGAAGAAGAAGAAGAAATTACCAATTTATTGGTGCCTCTTTTTTTGTCTCGATAGGTTTGAAATTAGATTCTCTCCTTGTGCGCCACTGAAAAGTTGCGAATTTGGAGGTTGAAGTGGGCTCGAAGTGACCTATTTTAGGCTAAAAATGAGCAATTTTGAGCTCAAAAACAGGCATTATTGAGCCAGAAATGTGCGATTTTGAGCCAAAAATAGGCAGTTTCAAAGCAAAATTAAAACATTTTAGGCCAAGTTGACTCAATTTTCGAGCCAAAAAGAAGCAATTATGAGCCGAAAATGAGCAATTTGAAGACCAAAATCAGCATTTTTGGCTCTGAAAAATGCTCAGAATGTCGAAATTCGCATTTCTAGACTCACTATAGGAAAGCTGAGCAATGACCTCATTTTTCTGCTGAACTTTGATAAATTACAGTAGAAAATGACCCATTTATTGCTCAGCTACAGTAACCCTCATTGACTGAAAAGGAATTTAAGAGCCCCCTAAGCTCCGCCCACTTTTAGCTCCTTGCTCTGCTATGATAGCTGTGTTATAAACCTCAAGCCCCGCCCCTTTTTTTGGCTGGATTCCTGAATCTTGGCTCCTTCTCTGGGCTATAAATCCAAAGCTCCGCCCCTTTTTGAATTTCGAAACCTCCCGAATTTTTTTCACATTTTTCGCTTTTTTTGCTTTTTTTTTGAAGATCCACGACAAAGGTATCAAATTCCCTATTGAAAAACACTTTTTTCACTCCTAACGTCATCTGAATCTTCAGATGATGTTGAACTTTGAAGTTGTGTCCTCCTTTAAATCCGAATGTAATCCCATTTGTTCCTACTGATCCTAGAACTTCTTCTACTTCTCCTTCTTCTTCGTCGTCCCCTCGTCCCTGTCTCTGAAGACGTGGGCGTTTGGAAGAAGAAGCCACGTCATCTTGAAATGTCGAAAATTAGGTGTCTTGAGGTTTCCATGGAGAAGTTCTAAAGAAGAAGAAATGAAAATGCACCTGTTTTGGCTCGATTGCTCAGCTCTTTGGAATTTGAATTTCAACTAGCTAGCTAGAGCTCTTCTGAGGAGAATAAAGCTGAGCAATGTCCATTTTTTTGGCATTTTAAAAGCTGAGCAATGCCTTGAACTTTGTATAATTGCTCAGAATGGAATCGGAGACCTTTTTGGCATTTTTAAAGCTGAGCAATGCTCCTGGCACACTGGTTGCTATGGTTATCTTTCGGATACTGGATACACTGTCTGTAGTGTTTGGAGCCGCCTTCTGAATCTATCTGAACGATTTTAGAGACATTCTCAACTTTAGAAGACGTCGTTCTCACGTTGTTGGATTCTGGAGTCGTCTGGAACGATTCAGCGGCTTCTGAATATATCTGAATTTCGGATTTTCGGACCACGTCTTCTAGAAATTCCCCCTGTCTGTGCTTTGATCCCATGTTCCTATGACGTCCCCTCCCCTTCCTTCATCTCGGAGGAACAATAGGAATTAGAATACGACTTTGGCTTCATTGCTCATCGTTGTTCTGACTGAGATTTTCAGTCTGAAAATCACGTTTTTCTCTGAAATGTGAATGACTGAAAACCACAAATTTTCATATTCCATATGACTAGGATAAAAGAAGAAGAAGAAGAGGTAAATAGCAATTTGTTGTTGTCTTGAAAGCGCCACAAGGTGTATGTCAACAATTTGTTGAATAGTCATCTGATTTCTTTGGAAAAATTGACTTCCTGAATCTGGGAAGTGCGATTTTCGCATTTTAAGTACTTCTGGAGGCTCAGAATACGATTTTCAGCTGCTTTGAGCGCTTCAGAAGCGATTCTGAGAATATTTCTGTGAGCAGCCAAAGCCTGACGACTCAAAAAAGGATTTTTAGCCATTTTAGAGCGTCAAAAGCTGGAAACGTTGTCTGTAGGGTTTGGAGACACTTTGGCGCTTTCTGAAGCACTCTTGAGCTCTTCTGAATCTATCGGAACGATTTTTGAGGCATTTCCAACTCTAGGAGACGTTATCACGTCATTAGATTCTGAAAATGTCTGAAAATCATCATCTGGAAGTTTATGGAGTCCTTTCTGAATCGTTTGTACCGTTTGGAGACTTCTGGTGCTCTTCAGAGCCTCCTGGAGCATCCCTGAGGCATCTGAATCTCTCAGAGCGATTCTGAAGCTTCCAGGAGAGTTTTCAACAAATTTGGAGCTGTCTAGCACCCTCAGCATCGTTCTTGGTCAAATTGAGAGTATCCGAATACTCTTTGGAGCCTTCTAGGACGTTCCTGAGGTTCTGAATCTATCAGAACGACTTAAGAAGCTTCTAGAAGAATTTCAACAACTTTAAATCTGTCTGAAGCGTTCTCGGTCGAATTTCGAACGCCTGAATCTATCAGAATCATTCTGAGAACCTCGTCAGCGGCTCCTCTGATGCATTTGTGGATTTTAATCTCAAAAATCCCAAGGAGCTACAGTAGTACTGTAGTACAGTACCCCTCCCCTAAAAGCCAAAACTAAACGAAAAATGGCATTATACTACTTTTTGCATCTATATCTATCTCGCTCTTCTAAAGGATGATGATGATGATGATGAGAAGGTGACATTTGCATATCCGCCGTCCGTCCATCACCCATAATCTCCTCTCTTCTCTCTCTCTCTCTCTCTCTCTCCCTCACCCCTCACGCCATCTTATTCACGTCTTCTCCTTCTTCTTCTTCTTCTTCTTCTTCTTCTTCTTCTTCTTCTTCTTCTTCTCATCGGCATTCATCCTCGTCGTCGTCGTCGCATCAAATCAAATCCTAAGAAGAAGAGATGAAAAACGATTACTATAGGCAGTTTCTCGTCGTCTTATTCATATCTCTTTTTGAGGAAAAAAGAGCATTGAGAGAGAAGGATTATAGGATTCATTTCTCGCCGAAAGTTTTTTTAGGAGGAGGATATCCATAATCTCTTCTTTCTAGAATCTTCTAGAACATTTGTGGAGGATTTAGGGGCATTTTTGGAGCTTGAAAAGGATCGAAAATCGAGGCCTGAAGCATGTCGCGAACCCGGTTAGTCCTTTGTCAGACGCATAGACACTCTCTAGACGCTTTATGACCATTTTTAGACAAGTTCCGGAGAGTTTAGGTAATTTAGGCCTTCATACAGATCTTGTCATATAGGCCTAGCCCTTCGGTCGACTCTGTTAGCCTTCATATAGGCTATCTTATGATTTGGACACTTCTTGACTTGGACTCTTTCTAGACTTCATTCTGACCATTTCGAACCATTTTCAGAGCAACGTATTCAGCTAAATCTAGGTAATTTTAGTCTCGACTTTATGATTCTCGGCTATTTCGTCTTTTCTGGTCAGTTAGACTTCATTCGGGTCGTTTTGAACCATTTTGAATCATTTCCAGAGCAATTAGAGCGACTTTTAGGTCATTTTGGTCTGTTTTCTATGGTTTTTGCGGTTTCCAGAGCAATTACAGCGATTTTCATGACATATGGGCGACTCATAGACCGATTAGACATTTTCTGAGATTTTTGCCGTTTTCTGATAATTTTCAGACATGCTTAGGTTTTTGGTACTTGGACACTTTCCATGGACACTTATATCCTCTATGGGCACTTTTTGACCATTTTTAACCATTTTCAGACGAATTTCAGCAGTTTCTAGGTGATTTTGGCCTGTTTCCTATGATTTTTGGTATTCTGCAATTTTCTGGATATTTAGACTTTATTCTGACCATTTCAAGCAATTTTCAGACGCATTTTCAGCAATTTCTAGGCCATTCTGGTCTCTTTCCTAGGAATTTTGATATTATGGACTCTTAGACGACACTGAGACTTCATTCGGGTCATTCCGACCATTTTGAACCATACTCAGACCAATTTTCAGCAATTTCTTGATCATTTCGGTCTCTATCCTATGATTTTTGGTATTTTGGACTTTCCCATACATTTGGGAATCGGAATCATCTGTCCCCTCTCCTCTTCTTCTCTCACTTCTCTTTTTTTGCTTTTTTTTTGCCTCACACACATTTTTTTCATGAATTTTCAATCATTCCCCTCTTTTCAACTCGAAAAGTCCCTAAATTCTGGGATTTCTGATCTCTGAAAACCCCATATTTGTGAATTTTGGCTTAAAATCTCTCCTCAATTCTCTTGTTTTCGCCACATTTTCTTCCATTTTCAGCCGAACCCTAGAAAGTCTGAAAATCCTCAAGTGTTCTTCCATTTCCAGCCCTCGAGAATCTGAAATCTTTCCCTGAAAGTTCTCGCCTTCTAAACATCCTTAATTTCCAGATGGCCGACGGTGACGCGGTGATTTCGACTGTGAACAATGTTGAGGAGGTGCACGGACAGCTTTTCGAGGTCGCTCCACGCTATGTCAATTTGTCGTACATTGGAGAGGGCGCCTATGGAATGGTGGCGTGAGTTTTATCGCTTTTTTTTTTGACTGATTCTGAAAATATTGAAATTGGAGCCTAAACCGACGGATTTGGGGCATTTCTAGCTCGAAAATGATGAATTTTGAGCCTAAAATTAACTAAAATCGAGCAAATTTCGATTTGTGAAAGTTTCAGCTCCATTATTTTGGCTGAAAATGCTGCTGGAAATCGGACCCCAGAAAATAAGGAGTTTGGACCATTTCTAGCCTAAAAATGATGAATTTCGAGCTGAAAATGAGCTGCAAACGACGGAGATTTTGATTTTTAAACGTTCCAGCTTTTTTTTTTTGACTGAAAATTGGACCCCAGAAAATAAGGAATTTTAGATAGTTTTGGGTCAAATTTGGACCATTTTTTAGCTTGAAAATGGTCGATTTTGAGCTGGAAAAGAGCTCCAAACGATGGAAATGTCGATTTTTAGAAGTTCCAGCTCTATTTTTTTGGCTGAAAATGTTGCTGAAAATTGGAGCCAGAAAAGCCAAAAATTGACAGATTTCGAAAGTTTTGGGTCAAAACCGGACCATTTCCAGCTTGAAAATGGTCGATTTTGAGCTGAAAATGAGCTCCGATCGATGCAAATGTCTATTTTTAAAAGTTCCAGATTCATTTTTTTTTGGCTGGAAATGCTTGAGTTTTGGGTCAAATTTGGACCATTTCGAGCCTAAAAATGATGAGTTTTGATCCGAAAATGTGCTCCAAACGACGGAGATTTCGATTTTCAAAAGTTCCAGCTCCATTTTTGGCGCCAAAAGGGGAATTTCGAAAGCTTTGGGTCAAATTTGGACCATTTCTAGCCTAAAAATGATGAATTTTGAGCTGGAAAAGAGCTAAAATTAAGCAAGTTTCGTTTTGTGAAAGTTTCAGCTTCATTATTTTGGCTGAAAGTGCTGCTGAATGGACCCCAGAAAATAAGGAGTTTGGACCGTTTCTAGCCTAAAAATGACAAATTTTGAGCTGAAAATGAGCTGAAATTCAGTGAATTTCGATTTTTAGGTTGAAAATGAGCTCCAGAATTCTGAAATTTCCTATTTTTCCAGATCCGCACTCGATACGATCACCAAGGACCGCGTCGCGATAAAGAAGATCTCGCCGTTCGAGCATCAGACGTTCTGCCAACGCACGCTTCGAGAGATCAAGATTCTCAATCGTTTCAAGCACGAGAATGTAAGTTTTAGATATCTGAAAGTGTCTGAAATTATCGATTTTTTTCCTTCTAGATCATCAACATCCAGGAGATCATTCGCTCGGAGACTGTCGACTCGCTCAAAGACATGTAAGGGAGTTTTAGATTCAAAATTGGCTCGAAAAACAGCGGAATTTGAGCCTGATATGGCCTGAAAAAGCCTGAAAAAGCATAAAAATTCGGACCAGAAATATTCATTTTGCGTCTTTTTCGCTGAAAGAAAAGAGGCATTTTCAGGCCCGAAAATTGTCCGAAAATTCGGAATTTTCGGGCCGAAATGGGCTTTTCAGGCTTTTCAGGCTTCAAAAAAGGCCCAAGTAGACCAGTTTTTTAAAACTAATTTCGGATTAATTTAGACCAATTCAGGCTAATTTAGGCCAATTTAGACCAATTCAGGCCGATTTTGGACCAATTCAGACTGATTCAGGCCAATTCTAGACTAATTCAGGCCAATTTCAGATCAATATAAACTAATTTATGCCATTTTCAGACCAATTTTAGACCAATTCAGACTAATTTAGGCCAACTTTAAACCGAATTGAGCTCCAAAATTTAAATTCAGACTAATTTAGGCCAATTTCAGACAAATTTCAGACAAATTTATGCCAATTTCAGACCAATTTAGACTAATTTAGACTGAATTTGACTGATTAAGGCTAATTTCAGACCGAATTGAGCTCCAAAATTGAAATTCACTGGCAAAAATAGAGTTTTTTTGAGCATTTTCAAGCTTATGACAATTTTGAGTTCATTTATCTCAACTCTTTTAAAAGATATCAAAAAGGTGTCAACTGATAAAATGTTTATCATAAAATGAGGAATATTTTATCAGTGGACAGATTTTAGATATCTTTGATAGGAACTGAGATAAATTGGCTGAAAATTGACTCTGAAAATAGCCCCTCTTCAATGCTCCTTCATTTTCAGCTACATAGTGCAATGCCTGATGGAAACGGATCTCTACAAACTGCTGAAAACGCAGAAGCTCTCCAACGACCACGTCTGCTACTTCCTCTATCAAATCCTGCGCGGACTCAAGTACATTCACTCGGCCAACGTGCTCCATCGCGATCTGAAACCATCGAATCTGCTTCTGAACACCACGTGCGACCTGAAGATCTGCGATTTCGGTCTGGCAAGGGTCACCGATCCGCAGACAGATCACACTGGTTTCCTGACGGAGTACGTGGCGACTCGCTGGTACAGAGCACCGGAGATCATGCTCAACTCCAAGGGATACACGAAATCGATCGACGTCTGGTCGGTGGGATGCATCCTCGCCGAGATGCTCAACAATCGGCCGCTCTTCCCAGGAAAACACTACCTGGATCAGTTAAATCTGATCCTTGCGGTAGTTGGATCACCGTCGAACGAAGACTTGCAGGTAAAATTGATGGGAAATCAGTGAAAATCGTCCTGAAAATCATCCAAAAATATGGCAAAAATCACTGAAAATCGTCTGAAAATCTGAAAAAATCACTGAATATCGATTTTTGACCAATCCAGAGTGATTTTTCTGACCAAAAAAATCGGATTTTCAGTGATTTTTGCAGAATTTTAGACGATTTTTGGCACTTTGATTCATTGAAAACTATTCAAAATTGTTCAAAATTCCAAAAATCGTCTTAAGAATCTTTAAAAAAATCACCAAAAATCGATTATTTTGATCCGATCAGTGATTTTTTCCAGATTTTTGACAAATTGAAGCCATTGAAAACAGTTAAAAATGCCAGAAATCATCTGAAAATCTGAAAAAATCACTGAATATCGATTTTTTGACCAATCCAGAGTGATTTTTCTGATAAAAAAAAACATCGATTTTCAGTGATTTTTGCAGATTTTTAGGCGATTTTTGGCACTTTGAATCTTTTGAAAACGATTAAAAATGCCAGAAATCGTCTAAAAAATCTAAAAAATCACTAAGAATCGATTTTTTTGTGATCCGATCAGTGATTCTTTATCAATTTTGAACAAGTTTCACCAATTTTCATGAATCAAAAAATCGATTTTTAGTGATTTTTTTCCAGATTTTTTAGGCGATTTTTGACAATTTGAATCCATTCAAAAAGTCTGAAAAAGTCACTGTAAAATCGATTTTTCGTGATCCAAAAATTCAGAGTGATTTTTATCGATTTTTCAGTGATTTTTCAGTGATTTTTGAACGGTTTCTGTCACTTTAAACCAATAAAAAAATATCTGAAATTTAGAATTCTGGAATTTCTAGAATCTTCAATAATCTGAAAAAATCTGGAATTCCAAAGATGGAATTCTGGAAAGTCTGAAATTCGAATTTCAATGATTCTAGAAAATGAGGGTTCTGAATTTGGGAACTTTTTGAATGCTATTCTAAGATTTTCAAATTCTGAAAAACCCCTGAAACTCCAAAGATTCTGAATTCTGAAAAATCTCAAATTCGAATTTTGAAGTTTTGGAATTTTTTGAATCTGATTTTCAAAATTTCAAAAATCTGAAAAATCTATAATTCCGAAGATTTTGATTTCTAAAAAATGTGAACTTCGAATTTCAAGGATTCTGAATTCTGAAAAATCTGAAATTCTGAATATTCGAAAATTAATTTCTATGTTTTTGGAACATTTTGAATGCCATTTTATGATCTCCAAGAATCTGAAAATCTGAAATTTCAAAGATTCGGAATTCGGAAAAATTTGAAAATCCTAATTTTCCCCCATTTCCAGTGCATAATCAACGACAAGGCTCGCTCGTACCTGATCTCCCTGCCCCACAAGCCGAAACAACCGTGGTCCCGTCTCTACCCGGGAGCCGATCCTAGAGCCCTCGATTTGCTCGACAAGATGCTCACATTCAACCCACACAACCGGTAAGCAACGCGGACATCCGGACTTTGGGATACACAGAGGAATTGGAAAATGTCGATTTTTGAGGAGTTCCACAATTCGAAAAACGCTTCTAGATTCGACTAGAAATATCGATTTTTGATGTCCCCAAACCTCTAATAAAATAGCCCCCTAACTTTGAAATTTGAGCCAATTTATCTCTCTCTCTCTCTCTTTGAAAGATGTCAAAATTTGGTCAACTGATAAAATGTTCATCATCTTATAACAGACATTTTATCAGATGACACCTTTTTGATATCTTTGAAAGGAACCCAGATAAATTGGCTCAAAACCTGTAATACAAGTGCCCCTCGAACTTTGAAATTTGAGCCCATTTATCTCAGCTCTTTTGAAAGATATCAAAAAGGTGTCAACTGATAAAATGTTTGTGATAAGATGACAAATGTTTCATCAGTTGACCACATTTTGATATCTTTGAAAGGAACCGAGATAAATTGGCTCAGAGCTGGGCAAGCGGACATCCGGACTTTCGGATACACAGAACTTTGAAAATAGTAGTTTTTGGTTTTGAAAATTCATCCAAAAACTGGGAAATTCGATTTTTGAAGTCCCCAAAGATGGATTTTTGGCAAGCCATAAAACCTCTAATAAAAGGGCCCCCGAACTTTGAAATTTGAGCTCAATTATCTGGTTTACTGTAAAAGATATCAAGAAGTAATCAACTGATAAAATGTTTATCATACAATGAGGTTTATTTTATCAGTTGATTACTTCTTAATATCTCTTACAGTAACCCAGATAATTGAGCTCAAAACCTGTGATACAAGGGCCCCTAACTTCGAACTTTGAGCCCATTTATCTCAGCTCTTTTGAAAGATATCAAAAAGGTGTCAACTGCACGCTCTCTTACAGAACAATTCCGAACTGCAAATTAATTTTTGATCTACAGAAAAAAGTTTGGCGCGATCACAATTGCAGGTCTAAAACCATAATTTCAGAATTTTTTATCTGTTTTTGTGGAGTTCCAAAATGATTCAAATGATTCTTAAAAAATTAATTAGTGGTTATAGATTCATGTATGGTCGTTTTCCGAAAGAAAAAATGTCAAAAAATGGTAATTTTTGAAAGTTTTTTACAGAAACAATCTATCTCCTCTTTCAGTTTTTGACATTTCTAGGAGTTCTATAGCTCAAAAAAAACCGCAATTATTTTCTCTTCATTTTCTATGGACAAATTTTCAATTTGTCTGATAAAACTTTTTTTATAATTCAAAAACCTCATGAAATTGCACAAAATCGCATTTTTGCGGTGTTTTTTGATTATAAAAAG